AGGTGTGGGGTTCAAGGTCGGGTTGAAATCTCAGTTGACACCTTGGGCGCGTTGACTTTTCCCAAAAGAGCTTGGGAGAGTGAATCATAAAACAATTATCAAAAATAAAACAAAAATAACAATAAAAAAACAATAACAACAATTTAACAACAAATTTAATAACAACAAAAATAACAACAATTTATTATTCTTCACCCCGAGGTTCCGCTGGGATTTGCGTCCTGCGCGACTGGGAGAGCCAGCCTTCCCTGCCAGCTCATTTGTTGACTGAGGTTTATCTTTCTGCTGCTTCGCCCCCCTCCCTTCTTTTTGTTTAAAAAACGCTGAGGCTGGAGAGGGGCCCATGCTTCCTCCCAGTCCCGCCTCATCTGTGAGGTCATGTCCTCTGGAGAGAACTTGTCCTTGGGATGGGGTGGGGACGTCTATCTCTCAACTTCAGGCCTTAATGAGAGCAAACCCCAGACGTGATTCTTGGACATCTGCTTCCCCCCAGGGACGTCCAGCTAGTGGCCAAGATGTCTTCAGTGGGGAAGGTGTCCCAGGTTCCCAGCGGGAAAGTGTACCAGCAGATCTTCGAGGCTGAGGTAGGCCTGTCCTTTCGTCCCCCCTCTTCCTGCTCCCCAAACTTTCCTCTGTTCCCCAAACATTCCTTTCCTCCCCTCCAAACTTCCCTCCCTCTGAAGCCTTCCTTGCTTGGGAATCCAATGAAATAAGGGCTTGGAAAATTGCTTTAATTTTAAAAATAATTCTTATTCTTAAAATATAAGAATATAAAATTAGAATGTCTATTTTGTAAATTAGAAAATTTAAATTAAAAGCTTTAAATTCCTCAGAAATAGCCATAATGAACCATTGGGTGCCCTGGGTCTTTTTTTTCCCTATGCATAAAAGCATTTCTAATTTTTCTATTTAAAAACTAAGATTGATTCTATACTAGTGTTTTAAAACCTGATTTTCCCTGTTAACAGCATCTCACAGACTTTTCCCATGTCAGCGGGCATTCATGCACTTCGTGACATTTAGTGGCTGCCTCATTGATCTAGGGCTTCCTGTAATGCATTAAAATAACACCCTCTTGACAACCACATAGGTGTTGAAATTGCCTCGTCATCTATAAAAAACGCACAAAATGATATCTTAAAAGAAATACACAACTTGAACACTTCCTTTGAAGTTCTGTGCTGCTTATTTAAAAGGGATTTGCATTCCTACTTTGAACCCTAAAAAATGTTCTCTATGTAAGGTTTGGAAATTATCAAAGGATAGAGACCAAAGACACAAATGATCCTTACTCACATAACCCTGCTCCCTGGAAGCAGTACAACATTCTTAATGTTTGTCATATTTTCTGTGCATTTCAGAGAGCTTTCCTGACCAGAATGTTTGGTCATTTTTCTATGCATTTAAAATGTGAAGATCATGCTGTATAATTCCAGTTATAATTTTTAATTTATGCTTTTAATTGATATGTTTTATGGCATATCACATCATAAGCATTTCCCTATGTCACAAAAAAATTCTTTCTAAGTCTCATTTTTAATAAATGCCTAACATTCCATTGAAGGGACCTATGATGTCCCCTCAACTAGGGAGTATTGGACAGTTCCATTTTTCCAGTTCCTTGTGATTATAAAAACTGCTGGGATGAGCATCTTGGTGTTCATTAAAATTTCTTAAGAGATGTCTTCCTGGAAGTGGCTGAATGGCTGTTATAGGGAGTGGAGAACCCTCTGTGTGAGGTATCCCCTACCTGGGGTTGAAGGCCTGCAAAGTGCCTTCCTGCTGGCAGGTTCCCACTGGGTCTTCTAAGACTGCACAGTCAGCCTGAGGGTGCTGGGAAGTCTGTGCTCTGACCCTTCCCCCCCAACTGGATCTTCTGCGGATTCAGGTGCAGCTGGTCCACGCCCTGCTGGCCTCCAGGAAGCAGGATGCGGAGTGTCCCATGCCCCCGAAGGATGGTAGCAGGCCCTTGATGAAGAAGGTGGATATTCCTGAAGGGGAGATGCTGTCTCCTCGACAGCGCAAGTGGATGCAAGGCCTGCCCAATGACTGGGTCACGGAAAACCCTGTTCTCTACAGGTAGGTCCGGCAGTCCAGGCCGCACGCCCGCACACTGGGGGTGCATCGGAGCCTTCAAAAACTCCAAAAGAGCTCACACAAGATGAGGGGCAGTAAGAATGAAGGCGCAGGGAGGTAATACCTACTTTGCAGAACTGTTTGCTTCTCCTTTTCTCCCCCCCGCCCCTCATAATTACTGTTTGAGTGCTGAGGGCCAGACAGTGGGCATGGGGATCCCACCCTCCTGGAATTTGAGGCCTCTCCAGTAAATAAATAAGCTGGGGTCTCCCCAAAGGTGGGAAGGCTCTGACACAGAGGATGGGATGGTGGGACAGGAGTCCGGAAGGCTCTCTGAGGAGGGGCCTCAGCTGAGACCCGAGGATGAGGGAGGGGGAAGCATGGGACAAGGCTCTGAGGCTTGGTCCTAGGATCCATGGTGTCCACTGGCAGGAGATGCCCGGGCAGTTTGCTGGGAGACTGGCACGGCCTCTGGGCAGCCTGAAATCAGTGGGCAATGTGTAGGGTCCCTCTAGAGATTCCCTCATGTGCCAGAGCTGCCCTGAGGGTGAGGGGTTGGGGTTTTATTGTTCTTTTCTGCTTCTGCCTCAGGGAAAAGAAAAGAACCAAGAAGGAAAAGGCTCAGGAGAGTGAGAGCGCCATCGCTGCCCGAGAAGTCCGGGGCCTCACGGACACCATCGGTGAGCCTCTCATCGGCCGGGGACAGCCTGGCAGGGGCCCCAGAGAGCCCTTGGGGGACTCCTGGGAGCTCTAATACAGAAGCGCCTGGCGCCCGCATTGTGTGGAGCTCTCGCTCAGTCTTTTCCTGGGCCTTCTCCCCTCAACCTTCTCCCTGGGCCTTCTCCCTGGGCCTTCTCCCAATGCCAGGAGCTGGCAGAGGAGGAAGGCACTGGCTGCACTGTCAGGATTTACTGATGAAAACTAGTTGGTAAAGGGTGATGTTTGCTTTACTGTGATTTCACAAGAAAATTTCTCAATTCACATTTTTTTCCTCATACCACATTCTTAGTTGACTTCACCCCAATATGAAGGCTCTTTTTTTTTTTTTATGATTAAAAAAGTAATACATGTCACTATAGAAAAACAAAGGAAGGAGATAAACAGAAAGTAAAAACTCCCGCTCTACAATTCCCCCCTTCTTTTCCCAAGAGTGCCCCCCACCCCCCATGAAGTCACGTGGTGCCCAGCTTCCTGCATAGGATCAGGGGCCAGCAGAGCCAAGTGAGATGGCAGACCCTAGAGCAGAGGGCCCACATCCAAATCCCTGCTCAGCACTGACCCTTTGTTTTTCAATCCCCATGCCCGAGTGGCCTCACTTATAAAATAAGACCAATGAGTCATCCCTAGGCTGCAAGTTTGATCCCTGCTCAGGGGGCAAACAATCGATGTTTCTCACATGGATGTTCCTCCCTGTCTCTCTCTCTCTCTCTTCCTCTCTCCTTTCCTCTCCCTAAATATATCCTCAGGTGAAGATTAAAAAAATAATAAGACCAATAAGTAATTGAGGTAGAACCATACCTGGCACATGTTACGTGCTATGTAAATGTTGCTTATTCTTATTTGTGTATGTGTTTCCTTCTGTCAAACTATTTTTTTATAAAATGTAAATGGTCCCATTCTTCACACACCATTTTGGAACTTTTCTCCAGCATTTAGCTGCATGTGCAAGACTTCATTTCCTGTAGCACTCAGGAATCACCGTCATCTCTTCTCTTTCTCCTCAAGCCCCTCGCCCTGCTGGCCTGGTGTCAGGAGCCATCTCCTAAACCAGGGCACTTGCTGCCTTGCTGCCTTTTCCGGGTGGGCGCTCTCCCCTTGCCTTGGAGCCCTGAGGGCGGCCTCCTCACCTCTGTTTTCTCCCCCAGTCCCCGAGAGGGTCAGCACCGTCACTCTTCAAGGAGACTTTAAGAAGAGGAGCTACGAGAGTGCTCTGAAGAATTTTAAGGAGGAGATCACTCAGATTGGGATGGTGAGAATCCTTGCCTTTGCTCCCCTCTGTCCCTTGGCCATTCTGAAGGCAGGTTTGTCACTGCCCCCACCCCCCTTTCCCCCCAGCTCCCAGGTTCTCAGAGGCCCACTTAGTGTTGACAGAACCATAGTAGCTATGTTTGAGTGGCTCGTTACCAGTGCTTTTTATAACCTATGTCAGGTTCTGTCATTACTCCCATTTTACAGTTGAGCCCAGGAGGTCTTGTCCTACTTGGCACAGAGGGGGCCAAGTGGAAACTGAGCCCCAGGTCTGAAGCCAAAGCCCAGCCTTTGATCTCCCTGCTTAATTCTGTTCATGGAAACCAAATGGCCTGATCCCCCATTGACAGCCTGGCACTGCCTGGCCCTTAAGCACCACCCTCACTTGGCTCCCTGTCCCTCCCCAGAGACCTCACCCCTAACCACACTGGTTCCGGAATGTTCCCTAATGAGGCCGTTCTTGACCCTTCCAGATCCTCTCTGAGCCACAGATTGTAGTCACCACTTTCTTCCTGAGTCCTCTTAGACTCATGTCGCTTCCCTGGATTCCAGGAGCTGGCTCTGTTCCCAATGTACCCATAAAGTGCTCACCCAGCAAGCTCACCACTTTCCCAATACGTCCCACCTGGACCAGAGCTCTGTTTCACCCATGAGCACTGTGGCTTTGGTCACACAACATGACTGAGCCTTAGTCTCCTCTGAACTAAACCTGGAATTCTTTATGGGCCACTACTTTAATGAATATTTGTTGAGCCCCAACTGTGGGCCTGGCCAAATGCCAGCACTGACTTCCCAGGCTGTGATGAGGTCCCAGAGAGTCTGAGGACACGCGCTCAGCTCCGCGTAGAGCAGGGCGTCCGGCCCATGGCGCCTGCCCTGAATGGTGGCTGCCCCTGTGCTCTAGTTGGGAACCAATTAGTGAACCTTGGCTCTTTCGGCCTAGGTAAGGACTGTCATTTTTGAGACAGGACAGGGCTGATTCTTCCTCGTTACGGGTTGGGGGCTTCCTTCTGCCCCGAGGCCATCATGCTCCTGGCCTCTTTCAGGAAATGGAACCTCTCATCTTGGAGCCAGGAGCACGCCTTCTAAAAAAGCTGGCTGAGTTTGACGAAAACATCAACTGTCTCTTCAAAATGGTGGAAAATGACAACAAGCTGGAGAACTATGACATCCAAGTAGGGCCCCCTCGGGGGCTGGTGGCCCCACCCGGCCCTTCTCCTTCCCTCTCTGCCCTCGGTCCTCCCAGCCTGACCCAGACTTCTCGGCGCAGACCCTGGGGGAGCTGTGGGACCAGGTGGCTGAGAAGTTCCTGCTCCAGAAGCAGGGGATTAAGGAGCTGGATGAGACGCTCAACTCGCTCGAGTTCTCCCGGGCAGATAAAGTGAGTCAGCCCGCGATGGGCTCTTGGTGATTTCCACTTGTGGGGTGTATGAGGCGCCATCCGTTTCCTTTCAGTTCTCCAGGAAAAGAGAGAGGCACTAACTATGGCACCTTGTCGTTTCTAGCTAAAAAACGTGTTGAAGAAATATGTGGAAATCATAGAGAAAACTTCCTACCTCATGCAGCCTGACGTGTACAGGCTGATAAATAAAGAATCCATGGTGAGTGGTTTTCATGTGCAGGGGGTCAGCCCACGGAAGGAGGAGCCAGGACCCCAGCGTGCTTCAGAGCCTGGTGTCTCAGGAGTGATGGCTTCTCAGAGGTCACATTTCCAAGTAACCCAGGTTGGCCACTTAGGTTCAGGTTCAGAGTCTTAGTTAAGTATTTTCAATAGAAATCTTCCTAAAGTACATTTCATGCTTCCCTGCCATCTTAATCCCAGTTTACCTGACACACCATCATCATTTTGAGCACCGATGATTTTACAAGCACGCACTGGGCCACGTCTCAGCTACCATGTGCAGTACAACAGGCCACTGTGGAGGCATCACCTCGCAGCTGTCAGTGGCAGGGTGGTTTGTGCTCTCATGAGTGACCCCAGCCTACTCTGTTTGTCTAGTTTTTCCGGTGGTTCTTATCCTTTCTCCTGCTGGCTGTCATTCCCCTTTGCTGAGCCATGCCTGTCCCCACTGCTTCCCTGTCCACAACCCCAGCCTCCCCCGGCTGCTTTCTTTCAGATTAAAAAGAAAACACAAGAAATTCAAGGTTGTTCTTGATGTCTCCAAAGTCAGTGATGTCTGTCTCCTCTGCTGCATGAAAAGACGCTTCTTTTGGCTACTCAGAGGCGCCTTTTGCCTGCATGGGTTTCCAGACCCTGTACAGAAAGCTGGGCAGCCAGATAACAGTGAAGGGAGTACAGCATTCAAATCACAGATGACCTCCAGCCCAGGTCTGTGCCTTGCAGTCCTGGACAAAGCTCGGCCAGGGAGTGAGCACAGATGACCCTCTTCGCTGCCCAGACACGAAAGCTCCTGAAATAAGTCAGCCCCTGTACCTGGAACTCCCTGTCCATAAAATGGGGATAGTAATACCCCCCAGTACTTGTTGGGAGGCTGATAACAGAGGGCTCAGCAATGGCAGCTCTCACTGAGACAAGCGGGAGTTCCTAACTTTTACCCATTTGATCCACTAGGGGGGGAGTCAGAGTTAGTAGCATCCCGGTTTTGTTTCACTGTCTGACTTTCCTATGTTTATTTTACTCATTATAACAACTGGCATATGCTACTAGCTCTATGTGCATTTATCTCATTTAATTTCACAAATTCCCTATACTGTACATATCTTCATCTTATGGCTGCAGAAATGGAGGTTCAGGAGATACTTACCAACGCTAGAAAGTGCAGCTGGCATCAAACCTCAGGTTCCAATGACAAGTGTTACAGGAAGTATTATTCACTGTGCTTGGCAGGTTCTCACCCCTGCCCCAGGGAGGTGCCTAGAGGCTTTTAGGAAGCGTGTGGAGGCATTTTTGGATGCTGTAGACCCTGGGGGAATAGGAGAAGCTGCTCTCAATGAAGGGGGCAGCCATGCGAAATGGCAGAACAGTACCACACAATGAATTTCCCCACTGCCATGCCAAGGGTGCCCAGGAGAGAACCACTGGGAAGACTGCCAAAGAACGTTCTAGTTCTGGCCTCCTTTGGTAATTGGGTCCCAGTTCTCATCACAGCCATATGCGGCCAGTCCCTGATGGCATAAGCTCTCTACTTTTGGGAAAAAATTATTTAAAAAACACACAAGAAAAACAGTTAAACACCGAGACCACTGGATGCTTAACTCCAGTGAACCAAAATCGATGTCCTTAATGAACTGTCGGAGGTGGCTTTGGAGCTGGGCTGAAGCTCACGTGGTCACAGTGCGTGGTTAAGCCTTTGGGAAAGACCTTGGTCACTGTCCATGGCTACTGAGCCCCAGGCAGCTTCTTTGAGTGCCCAGTGACCCCTCAGGACTCCTCAGACACTGCCACCACCCTGCTTGGACATGGCTGCACCGGGCCCCAAGCCCTCAGCCTGCACCTCGCCTGGTCCCTCTCCGGCCTCCCACCCCCCCTATCCAACTGAGCCTTGTTCTGACCTTCGAGAACCCCTGGCCCATATAGAGCGTGCCTGCCTCTGACCACAGGTCATAAACGAGGCCCTTCTGGGCAACCGGAGGGCCATCGCGCAGCTGTTTGTCAATCTGATGGAGGCGACACTGAAGCAGGAGCTGGAGAGCCGCCGCCGCTGGCAGTGCCTGCTCGATGCCTGGAAGGTTCTCAAGAAGGAAGCCCTGGTGCAGAATCTGAGGTCAGTGGCTGCCCAGCTCACCCGGCCGGCTGGCGTGGGCAACAGGTGGCATTCTCCCTGCCTTTTTGCCATTGCTTTAAAATGCTGTTGTTTTTCTGGTGGTAAAAGTAATATGTGCTCATTTTTTTAAAAGCTAAAATAGAAAAGTAAAGAAGAACTTTAAAATCACCACGAGTCCCTTACCGCAGTGGGGAGCACAGCTGATGTTTGGTGTATTTTCTCCCAGGCCCTTTCAGACCATGCTGCATATGTAGATTTGTATCTTCCTATCTTCAGGAGCATTTTCTGAAAGCAGCACAAACTGTTTGGAAATGTTAGTCTGGCTATCTACCCAATTTCCACTCTTTACTCTTACACATAGCCCTGTGTTACTGGGCCAAAAAGAATGGCTGTCCCTAAGGCTTTGGTCCATCTCACCCTCTGGTGGCAAATTTCACCCACGGGAGGGAAGGTGAGATGAAGGCCCATCTCCACACTTCCTCATCCGGGTGGCATTTTTGTTAATACTGACACAAGGGTCCCAGACCTTTTGGCCAACAAGAAAGGGGGTCTTCCGCTAAGAAAGGAATTCATTGGGCCAAGATGTCTGAGGACACCAAAGAGAGCCTGTCCATGTGTGCTGCGGGTCGGGGGGTGGGTGGCTGGTCTGTACATCCACATTCCTAGATGGGGAGCATTAGAGCCTGACCCCGAGGGTGAAGGAAAATGTGCTGAGACCTGGCTCCGCCTGTACTTTCCCTGTGACCTTCATCTAACACTTGAACATTCGGAGCCTTTCTCTCCTTATGCAAAGCAGGCACCGTGTGGACCGGTGATAGGGTGTCAGTGATGGTCAGCAAGACACTCCATGAAAAGTCTGCTCTGGGCCTGGGAGCTTGTTAACAAATGTCCATAATCATCCACAGTGATGGCAGGAGCTGACATTACTGGCCATTTCCTGTGAGCCAGGCACGGTGCTAAGACCTTTGCTTGCAGTATCTTCTTGGGTTTTTACCATCATCGGCTCCATTACAGAAGATTAAATTGAGATTCAGAGTGGGGGGTAGTGACTTGCCCACAGTCACAGAGCTGGCAGGTAGCGGCCAGGATCCTCACCCAGATCTGTGCCTGCTGGTCCGGTGTTCTTAGCGCCAGAGCCTCACTGTCAGTCCCTTGGTTTTCTCCTCCACTCCTTCCCTCCCCTCAGTGTACCAGAGGCCCAAGGTCAGACGAAGGGGTTGGAAGAGGTGTAAAGGTCCTGGGGTTCTGAATGTTCTTACCATGGGTCTCATCCCTCTGTCCCATCCACCTTGCCCCCCCTTTCTCCACGGTGCCAATGTGTCCGGACACCCAGTGAGTTTATGGCCAGTGAGAGGATCCAGTCTCCGCCAGCCGTGAAGAAGGAGCTGGAGAGCATGCTGAAGAACCAGGAAACCCTGCAGGGAAAGCGGCTGAGTCATCTCTACACCATCTGGTACAGCAGGACGGGTCCCTGGGGAGGGGTGCCTCTGGGGGTCCACAGGGGAGGCAGGCATAGTCCTCAGCACTGACCTGTCTCCTGAGGCATCCTCCAGACTAGGCCATCATCTCCTGGTTCTCGGGGCCTGGGCTGGCCTCCTGGGCCCACATTCTAAGGTATTCCAGCCCCAGTGACAACAGTGAACATGATACATTTGCTGTAGGAGGAGATTTAGTGTAACTGTGCCAAAGAGCTTGGAAGGAGTCAATGGCAAGGAGTGAAGTGGGGGGACAGTGAGAGGAGGGAGGGGCCAGGGTAAGGGGTTGGACTTTTTCCTGAGGGCAGTGGGGAGCAGAGTGGCTCCATTAGCTTTGCAGTTTGGAGGGTGAGTTGGAGGGGTCTGAGGCTGGAGGCCAGGAGGTCAGTGAGGAGACTGCTGCTAACAGACAGGGGACCTGTTAGAGACTGTGGACACCTGCCTCAGACCCGGGTCCACCCAGCTCTAATTCCATAATAAGCTGTTTGGCAGGAAGCACACTGAATGTTCTAGACCTTGGAAGCCTATGTCTGGGAAACCTGTAGCATCCACTCTCAGCAGCAGGTTGGAGCCTGTGTGGTCCTGCAAGCTGGAGACAATGTCTTCCTTGGTCCCTCCCATCCTGGTAACCCTGAGGCTCGGGTTCTGGTCTCCCCACCACCGAGCCTAAGTTCTCCTAGGATATAAATGACAATGAGAGCCCCACACAGCCTCCCCCTCGGCTGTTACTTCCCACTCCACATACAGACTCATAGGCATGGTCACACTGGTACAAGATTTCTATGCAACAAGAGAGGGCAGGGAAATTCTCAAGGCTTTTCCCAGACTCTGCTGTGTCCTGTTTGCTAATGTCCCATTGGCGAAGTCCAGATCCAGGGGTGAAGAAATAGACTCCACCTCTTCATGGGAGGAGCTAATGATATTTGGCCATTTTTCAATCTGTCACACTTTTTTAATGACTTCACAAAAGGATTCACTGTCCTTTACTTAAACAATTCCTTATTATTGGATATGAAGATTGTGACTTTTTGTGTTTATAAACGGTAATGTTAAGCAACTGTCTTAATACATAACTTTGTATGCATTTTATATGATCTCAGATTAGGTTCCTCGAAGTGGCTTCCTTGGTCAAATGATGTAAGCTGTTTGTTTTTTCGCATTAGGAAATTCAGTTTTATTTTTTAAGTAACAGACTCGGTAATGTGAATTACCTTCTCACGAGGTGTGTTCTTGGCACCAGGAAACCCCCATCAAGTCACTTTGTTTCTTCGGTATTTTCACAGACAGTACTCAGAGCACGCTCCCTGCAGATGCTACCTATTTCCATAAGCAAACGTTCTGCTCAGGCGTGGCTTACTTGTCCTTTCTTCTTTCCCCAGTGACCTTCTGCCCCCCAATTACAGCAAAGCTCAACTGGATGAATGGTATTCTTCCATTTACTCCCTGAATAAGTGCCTTGGTGAGTGAGGTTTGCAGATTTCCCTTGGGCCTCTCCAGAAGTCTCTTCAAGTAGTAGCTTCATAGCAGCTTCAGCCTGTTGGTCATTTATCTGAGAGTTTCTTATAAACTCAGGAGTGGGTGGCAAGTCCCTCCTGGGGGGAACGGGATGGGGGTGGAAGGAAGTGTAAGTTCTGAGGGTTCATATTGGATCACCAAGACCTTGCCTGGCCAGGATAGCGAGGAGGCTTTTGATGAGATTGGTGGTCCTTACTCAGGCACTGTACTGGGGAGAAGACGCTTCCCTTAGTGAAGGGGAAAGTCCTCCTTCTCTCTCCCCTCTTCCTTCTGGAAGAGCAGCTGACATGTACTGTTTCTGCCCATGGAGACACCTACCACATGGACTGTATGATGCAGCTCCGCTTACAATATGAGAAGACCTGGCAGGAGTGCCTGGCGCACGTGCAGAAGTGCAAGGTGGGTGTCCCTCCCGGCGGGCCTCAGGAGAGGAACACAGGGCTCGGCCTCATGTCCCCTTTCTGGCCCACCCCTGCCTCTCTCTATTCTGGATCCCCTGCTTTCCTTCCTCACATGCCCCAGGCCTTCACTGGCTATGGGTGTGCTGAAGCTCTTCCCTCTGCCTGGACCCTGCCCTCCCCAGTTATTCCCACCTACCCCTCAGATTGTAGCCCAACATGAATGACCACCTCCAGGAAGACTTCCCTGATCTTACAGACAAAGTTATGCATGCTCTGAGCATCTCAGGCTTCACCTTGACACTGCATCACAGCAGTTGACATTATTGATTCAGCAGAGGGCCTATCATGGGGGTTGCTTCCAGCGCTTCACTTTTATGAACAGTGCCATCACTGCCATCACACTCAACTTCTCTCTTCACCCTGCCCACCTCTGTCAGAGGGTGAGCCAGTGAGTTCGCCCACAAGCCCCTTCAGTGACAATGCCTGGTTTTCTGGGGGACAAGGAGTATTTTGTCAAAATGCCCTCTCCCTGCCTCCTCAGTAAAATTGTTTAGATAAAAAAAACAAAAAAAGCCCAATCATTTTGAAGATGGTCTAACCTGCTGGCCGTGGCAGTCGGGGTCCTTGGGCTCTGAGGGCCCCACCTGCTGCCCCCAAGAAGCTCCTGCTACTCCACCCCTCATGTGTCAGTCCAGCTTTTGCTCAGCCACCAGGACTCTGAGGAGAGCTGAGCGCTTTACAGTGTGATGCACAGTCCGGGTGCTAGTTTCTGTGGGCTGTGCCACACACTTGCACACGCTGTCATTGAATCCTACAAGATTTTGCACAGTGACTGTCACCTACCCCATGTGGAAATGAGAAGACCAAGTGTGTAAAAGGCCCAGGGGCTGCCCAAGCCCATAGGGCTCTGCCCATTTGCTTTGTGGCCTTAGGGACAGCCACATGCCTCCCAGTAGCTTTTAGGGCCATCAAACCTCAGAAGTAAAGCCTGGAGGAAGAGAAGGGAGGTAAACCTTGTGTCTTCTGAGATCCCTGCCTCTGGCACTCCCCTCCCCTACGCTGCTGCTGCCTAGGACTTCCCCTGGAGCCCGGAGCCCAATGGCCCCTTCGCCCTGAGAGCTGATGCCTGTGGCCATTCTCACTGCCCTTGCTTGGCACATGCAGGGGATAAGTGCTGAAATCAGCACATACCCCAAGAGTGTATTAAGCCTGTCAGAGGACACCCGGGATTCTTACTCAGCAGCATTGGTATTATTCAACTGCAGACAAAGTTTTAATTTGGGGAAGGTTTGTTTATTTTAGATTTTATGCATAAACCAAGGCCTTATTAATTTAGAGAGCCCATTTTCCAGTTGGCATAATTCAGTTACAGGAAAGGGGAGCCCTGTCTGACATGCAGCAGCACTGAGGCCTTGCATGAGGGTGGGTTTTACCTGTAAGGTCTGCAGTAGGGCAGTCAGAATTCAGATTCTGGCCCCGCCACATGCCAAGTGTGTGCTTCCAGCAAGTTTCTTCACTTCTCTGAGCCTCAGCTTCCTCATCTGTCAAAATGGGGCTAATGAAAACACCTCCGGGGGGTTCAGTGAGACAAGGAGAGCAGCACACAGCACCTGGACATGGTGGGCAGACCACAAAGACGGACCATCTCCACTGCTATGAGGGTTTCCCCTGAGGTCCTCAGGGATGGATGGGAGGCAGATCTCAAGGGGCCAGGACCAGGCTCCAAGGTGAAGCCCCCACCAGCCCTACACCAGGCTCTGCCTTGTCCCCTTTAGAAGCAGCTGCTGGACTGGAAAGCCTTCACCGAGGAGGAGGCAGAGAGCGTAGTGAGCCCGTCCTTCTTCCAGATGGTGGGAGTGCTCCAGAGCAAGGTGGAGGAGGAGCTGGAGTCCTTGGACGTGCGTAGCTGAGGACCAGGATGGGTTCACCCGGGGCCCTGGGCTGTGAGAATGACGGGATTCCAGGGGCTTGAGTCCATTTCCCTCCTCGTGGCCCACCCCTCAGAGCAGGCTCTCTGCACCGAGCTCTCCAGGCTCTCCCTCCTGACCCCCCAGCCACCCGGTGGCGCCGCACTGCACAGGACTCCACAGAAACAGTCTCGGGCAGTGAGTGCTCCCTGAGCCCTTGCTCAGTCTGGGTGCCGAAGGGCCGCGGGAGCCACAAGCTCCTGCCCCATGATTCTTAGAATCTGGAGTGGGTCCACAAACTTCTTCTATAAGGGACCAGATAGCTTCTGTGGGCTATCTGGTCTCTGTAACAAATTCTCACTCTGCTCTTGTCACACGAAAGCAGCCCAAGGCAATGTAGAAACAAATGGGTGCGTCTGTGTTTCAATACAATTGTCTTGTGGCCTTGAAATTTGAATTTCATATAATATTCACATCATTAAATATCTTCTTTTTATTTTTTCCCAGCCATTAAAAAATATAAACTCTGTGCTTAGCTCCCAAGGCCACTCAAGAGAGGATAGAGGGCCACAGTTAGCCCACAGGCCAAGGTTGCTGACCCCGGACACTCATGAGAGCATAAGACACACATGTTTTTTTTGAGGGGGAGAGGTGAGGATTTAACAGCAGCGTGTGGTGTTGGCTCTGCTGCTGAGAGTCAGGGAGCTCCACAGAAGGAAAGATGCCCTAGGCTGAGATGGTTGCAGCCATCTGGATGACTAGGCCCCAAACTCCATCTTCTTCCTGTCAGTGACTTCAGTGGACATGGGACAGGTCTAGACATGAGACTTCAGGGTCAGCCAGACCAAGGATATGACCTTGGGCAGACTGGAAATGCTGTCCCAGTTGGAGGGGAGGGAGGGCCATGAACCAAGGCCCAGAAGATGACCTCGAGGGACAGTGCCCTGGCAGTAATGGCCAGTCCTTGGAGACATGAGTCCTCTACTGTTCTGAGAGTGAGCCCCATGAGTGAGGCTTTCCTCCTCACCCTGGGGCAGTTGGCACTCAGGGCCCCTTCTCTGGTTTCTGCCACTGCAGAAATCCTTTGAGGCCCTGGCGAAGCGGGCAGAGTGGCAGAGCTTGGACCTCTTCAGCTACTTCCAGGATGCTGTGCAGCTGTGGGAGGCACATCAGGGCATGCTGTCTGTGCAGGAGCTGGAGCTGGAGAAGCGGATGCACCAGCAGTGCCAGAAGCACAACCTGGAGAACCAGGTGTAGCTCCCGGCACCCAGGGGAGCCCCCACGGGAGAGGAGGGAAGGGCCGTGCCCAGATTGGCAGCTGCCCGATGGCTCTGCCTGGTGGCCTGTGAACTCAGCCAGCATTCAGATAAAAAAGGAAAAAACAACAACTTTGACCCATACTTCACACCATCAACAAAAATTAATCCCAAATGTAAAACCTCAAACTAGCTATCAAACTTAAGCCAATGGGGAAATTGAGGCTCACCTTGGTCACGGGACTAGATGGAAGTAAAAGAATTTACCTGAGTGAGGTCTGGGCTGTGCAGTGGGTCCCTAGATCCAAAGGTGTCTGTAAGAGAGTGTGCAGGAGAGACAGACAGACTGAGGAAATGGAGCGTCTACTCCTGGCAGTGAGCTGGCTCCCGCCCTACCTGCCTTCGCACAGTCTAAGGAGTGAGGGGGTCTGCTCGGGGTCTGATTTTAAGTACAACTGGTGAAAGAGAGGAGCAGGAGCTACAGGAAGGTAGGACAGGCCAGGCTAGGTGAGTGTGAAGGACGTGTCCCTGAGGAGTCCCATCTGAGCTGAGTCTCCAGGGATGTAAAGTGGACAGAGAAGGACATGCCAGGCAGAGAGAAGAACCCCAAGGCCTGGAGCAATGCCGTTTCTGTAGAAAAGAGAGTCCTGGGCCTGCCCTGGGCACTTGGACCTCAGTTCCAGTGGCAGGGTCTCTGCATGTCACTTACACTCTGCAAGCTCTGGTAACTCCCGTCTGCTTCCTCCTATTTCCAGACCCAGGAGGCCCACCTTGATGAGCTGTTGGACCAACTGAGGCAGCAAAGCAGTGAAAAAACACTGAATTCTCACCTGGAAAAGGCCAAAGATTTTCTGAAGAATATGAAAAGCAGGTAGGCAAACCAGACCCCGAAAGACAGAAGGGAATGACCTGGAATTCACATTCAAGGTCAGAGGCTGCCTGCTTTGGAGCCCAGGAGTGTGCCCAACAAACTCAAGATTAAAATGTTGCCTCCAGCTTTGGAGAATGTTGTGGTCCTTTGCAGCTCTGCTCTCAGTCAATGCAGAAACTTCAAGGGAGAACTTTGATCTGAAAAGTTAATGGAAGGAGGTTTCAAGGCCCTTAGTTTAAAAGTCAAGAGCATGGGCCCACCCCTTCCTTTAAAATTTTAAAACATACATGCTCTTTGTTAAAGAAAAAAAAAGTTAACCAATACAAACATGTAGAAAAATTCCACTTATTCCTATCCAACTCCTTGCTTTTATGGGCGTGTATATATGTGGATATCTTCACATATATAGTTTTTTGTTAATAAGGTTGGATCATACTGCGCAAAGTGTTATAACTATAGATACATTTTTGTTTTTAAACTACCATGTAACATTCATTAATATGGTTGCTTCACAATAATTTAACCATCTCCCAATTGATTTGTTTTTTAAGATTTGTTCCAGTTTTTCAATGTTAAAAACGACTCAGTGAACCCTCTTGTATCTTTGTGCCTTTGTACAACGAATTCCATGAGAACAATTCACAGAAAAGGAATAGCACGGCGATTGTTTGTAGTACTTAGATTCAGAAGTATATCTTGAGGCAAATAAGTAACCCCCTGAGCCTCTGTCTTCTTACTTGGAAGCGGTAAAAGTCTGGATCTTGGGGCATTAGAAAGTTCGACGGGATAATGTAGGTGAAGTTCAAGGTCAGGGTTAAGACAGTGGGCAGGAAGTGGGAACCCATGTTACAACAGAGAACGCTCTGGTGTTTTTTTCCTAAACATTCTACAAAGAGTGTGTATTCCTTGTATGATCAGAAAAATAGCCAAAAGACCAAGGACTACTGTTGTAAAAAGAAACCTACACAGCAGCTCTGTGCAGAGCTAAATGCCAAATTCCAGCCCACCTCCATGGGGTCACGGGCTTGGCTTTTGGCCGGGGTCTCCTACACTCAACCAAGCCCTTCTTAGATGATGGTCTCACCCACCTACCTCCCAGGTATGAATATTTTCATGGCCTCTTGACAAAAGAAGTGATGGAGTATTCAGCAATCATACTGCAAGAACTCAACTCCTACAGCTCCAGTCTCAGCCGACACTTCCATGTTCGTGAAATCTTTGAACAGGTACAGAGAGGGATACAAAAACCCCAGCCACTCACCCAGAAGCAAAGGATTTCTAGTTCTGATTTGCTTCAACTCTGAACACCTCCCCTAACCTGTGTTGAGTTAGAAGCTATGTCATTGCATCAAGGAGTAAAAAGCCGAAAGTAATTCTAAAAGAAACCACCTCTTTCTCAGATTAAAAGAGGTTGAAGGGCTCGGGACTCAGGCTCCAGGCCTGGAGTTATAATAAAAAGGCTAATTTGACGATTCTTTGAGTTCATTCATCCAACCCACCACTGCTACATAACCCTCCGAAAATGCAGCTCTGACCTACTGTCCTGCTCACAAGGCCCTCGCCAACTCTGCAGCCCCTACCGGATCCAGCCCACAGCCTCTCGGTGACCGCAGAGGCCCCACCTCTGCTTCCCGCCTTGGCTGTCCCTGCTTCGGCTAACTCTTCACTCTGCCGGCATGTGCCCCTGCCCCGCCCCCTGCCCTTCCTCATCCTGCTCCTCTGCTGGCAGCTGCCCGCCTGCACACATCCCGAACCCACCCATGCTTCCAGTCCACTACCCGTGACAAGCACCCCACCCACCGAGCCTGACCCCCATATCACCTTCCTCACCCCTTACCTCTCCTCTCTGAGTGCTTGTACGTGGGTTGCTGTCAAATACAGGAGTTCAGAGCACCTATTGAAGGTGTTTCTTGAAGGGCACGTGCACCTTACTAACTTTTATTTGACTTGGAGTGCCTTCAGCCCAGGGTCTTGCGCATGATTCAGACACAGTGAATACTCCTGGGGAAATGCATGAATACCTGGAATGTCCTGCTCTGACTCTCCCAGAGGTTGGCTCTTTCCCACACACCCAGCCAGAGTCCTGCATGACTAGAGCTGAAAATATGTGTGGTTGACGTTGAACCTGGCCAAGGCTTTCCTGTATACCTGGGGTCCCTGGCCGCTCAGAGAATCCCTCCTGTAGGCAGGGATCACTGTTCCAATACTCATGAATGCTCCCTGTGGTACCTGGGGCGAGGTGAAGCTGAAGCTCAAGGAGGGTGAGCTCACCATCTGCCCTTTGGGATCAGTCTGGTTGCCTGACTTAAAGGATAGGCATTGTCTTGGTCTCCATGTCACAAGGGAGGACACTGAGCCCCACAGGGCTTAAGGGGCTTCCTCAAGTTGACCCAACTTGTAAGGAGCTGGGACTCAAATCCAGACCTGTAAACTCCACAGCCCACACTGTTACCCATGGCACGCCGTATCTATAATTTCATCCAAGGGATTGGTAGCGTTAATCAGAGGGCTCCCAGGTTTGTAAGTCATGTTTATTTGGTATATTTCTGAACCCAGCACGAATCGGGTGCAGCATATATCTGCCCTGTTGTTTGAATCCTTCCGTTTATACTTTCTGGCTCTTTGCCCTAGATCACTACCAAAGCTGTGGCAGGCCCTAGCTCATGTGGCTCAGTGGTTATAGCATCAGCCCACACACTGAAGGGTTGCAGGTTCCATTCCCCGCCCTGCTTGGGGCGCATGTGGGAGGCAACCAATTGATGTGTCTCTTTCACATTGATGTTTCTCTCTCTCCTCCCTCCCTCCTTCCCTCCCTCCCTCCCACTCTCTCTCAAAATCAATGGAAAAAATATCCTCAAGTGAGGATTAACAACAACAAAATGTCTCAGAATGAGATTTGATTCTATAACGCGTACTGTGTGATGAAAGAGTTTGCTAGTCTGCTTGGGATTAAATAAAACTGATTCCCTGAGTTGAGAACACACTGATGACCCCAGTGAAATGCCTGCATTAGATGTTGGGGGTGGGGGGAGCAGGTCCTTTTACTTAAAAGAGATGCCCTTAGAAGTGGGGCCCTGGAGGAAGGCGCACCGCTCACTCAGTGTCCCTTGTCTTTTCCTTGCAGAACTTGGATGGGGAAATCATTCTGAAACTCAGGGAACCAGGTAAACCTTTCACAAGTGAAGTCTAATCTCCCTGACTCCACTCTTGGATATTTTTGGGGCTGCGGGCACCCAGTTCAGGCCACATGGGTAACCTGTCTTTCCTCGTGCTGTGGGCTGGCCCTCAACAGAAGAACATGAACAGCTGTTCCGGGAGAGAATGAGAAAGCGGAGGGGGAAGCAGAGGGCTAAGGTGGAAGTGAGCAAAAGCGACGAAAGCATCAGCGGAGGCGGGAGTTTCCTCTGGCCAGCGGAGGAGACGGAAGAACAGTTTCAAGACATGGAGCCCTTGGGAGTTGAAGGGCTGGTGGTGAGCCCCTGGGAAGAATCTGTGCTGAGCGAGGTGGTGGGGCCCAGAGAGGACTCCATTCAGGGGTCGGAAGAAATGCAAGCTGAAAGAGACGGCTCCCTGAGGTCATCCCTGGACCCCGAAAACGTGGGGGTTCCAGAAAATGAGAAGGAAGACAGTGGAGAGGAGGGAGCGGAGGAGGAGAGGAAGGAGAGGAAGGCGGAGGAGGAGGAGCGCGAGAGTTCATCTGCGCCTGAGGTAGGTGGGCGATGGGCTTGCGCTTTGGCCCGGAAGGTGTGCTCCCTGCCCTCCGTGTGTCATCAACACAAGCTTGAGTCCCCAGTAACACAGCCCCCCTTGGGGTACGTGTAAAGAATTACAAAGGCATGCACACCTTTTATTTTTGTCAACAGGGACCCAATTCTTACCTCACATCAGGGCTTTTTAAAATTCACCTTCCTGTCCTTGCATCCCATCCTGCCACCCACTCTGCTGTCAGGTGGCTTTCCCCAAACTTCCCCGGTCCCCTCTTCCTTAGCAACTCTTTATTGTATAGATCAACTTAGCCTCCCTGTTCCCCCTCTCTTCCTATTCTCTGGTTGTGTAGAACAAAAGACCCATCTCCAAGTTGGCAGACAGAGCTCTCCTCAGGGTGCAGGGAGGTGACATTCATATTATTAAATCTTGTCCAACACATTCAAACTCACAGAACAGTAGCTTGAGTTTCATAATCATGAAATTGCAAAAGACTCTTCCTGTGTTGCTGTGGGAAAAATTGACCCATGAAACTTCTTTTGAGCAGGGATCTCAAACTCAAATGCCCACAGGCATGTAATAGGAAAGAGCTGGAGGCCAGGTGTAAAATGGTGACAAGTGGTAAAGAGTATTGGCTTTGTCTATTCCAGCTGCTATAACAGAATAGGCCAGACTGGGTGGCTTATAAACAACAGAAAATTTTTTCTCACAGTTCTGAAGGCTGGGAATCCAAGATCAAGGCACCAGCAGATTCAGTGTCTGGTGAGGTCCACTTTCTGGTCCGTAGATGGCATATTCTCACTGTGTCCTCACATGGTGGAAGGGGCAAGGGAGCTCTAAGGGGTCTATTTTATAAGGACACTAATCCCATTCATGAGGGCTCTGCCTTCATGACTTTATCACCTTCTAAAGGCCCACTTCCAAATACCAACACATTGGAGATATAAATTTTGAAAGAACATCCAACATCCAGTCTGTAGCAACTATGCAGTCATTACTCAGCTCCAGCCAACAATGCCATGTGGGAAGCAGGCTCAGAATTGCTAGATTTTCTGATTTTTAAGAGAATTCCAAAATCTAGACTATATGTGTAATCTCCTGATTTTAAAAGCACTATGTGGGCCAAAAAACAACTATAGGCAAGGTTCAGCTCACAGGTTTACAACCTCAGATGTCAAGGAACCTGTGGTTGGGATCCCCAGGTCTGTTTGATGATGTCAAGTCTAAAGTCTTGTTTTCTGCTTAGTCTGAAGCCCAGGAAGAGAGTCTGGGGGCTGTATCCTCTGAGGACATGGAGTCCTTCACAGTCACCAGTGGGAACACTTATTTTGTCTTCCTACCCCTGGAACAAGAAGAGGAGGATTGTGAGAGGTCCCATTCCAGTCTTTCTGACATTCTCATCAATGACACTTCCAATGCCAAGTTCCTAGAACAAGTGATCATTTCATCCGCACTAGTTTCAGAAATTAAAAAACAGTGAGTAGGAAACCCTTTTATTCTCATTCTCTTGTCCTGAATTTTATTTACAAAGTGGAATATTTTAACAACAACAAAAAATGGACTAATTTCAGCTAGGAAAAGGAAATGTGTAACTGAGGGTAGAGATGAGAAACACAATAAAAAATAGCAAATGTCCAGGAATGATCTGCAGTCACAGATACCCCTGTGAGAATGACCCCTCCACATGTCCCAAGATGCCTTGCTGTCTTGGACCTGGTACCTAAGTCAGTGTTTTCTCTGCAAGATGTTTTCAGGATCTAGATCATGGCCCATTGGTAATCTTAGGGTTTCTTACTTTAAAAATATATTTTATAGATATAGCCATAGAAGTGAGTATATCAGTATGGTATTTGGCTCTGATTATGTGACACATTTAATGCAGAAAATTGAAAAAAGTACAATGATGAATATAGAAATGACCCATAATTCTACCACTGAGAATTTACCTCCACTAACTCCCAAGTTTCTGCGCCTTCCTGTTTGAATTTGGACCAAATGTGGAAATTTGCGTTTGGCTTCAGGAGAGCATTTCCACTGCCCTCCTGACTCTACAGTGTCATAGTTAGGACTAACCAGCTGTAGATCACCTGGTTAGCCTACCTCCCATGTTTAGGAATAGAAGGAATAAAGCCAGGCCTTTCACTCTTTCTCTTTACCTCAGCCTCTTCCTACCTTGGAAATGACTCTTGACTCGACCCTCACCCTCTCCTTCCTCTATCACAGGCCTTTGTCTGTCCTCTCCGTAGCCCACAGAACAAAGGAAAGCAAGGGCCACCACAAGAGCTAATGTTTATCGAGAGGGTTTAATACTTTCAATAACTATAAGAGGGGTACAGTAATTAGCCCATTTTACAGATGAAGAAACTGAAGCTCAGGGAGTTAGTAACTTGAATAAGATCTCTGAGATAGGAGGTGGTTAGATCCATGATATGAATTTAGACCCTGTAATTTTAGAGTCCTGAACCAAACACTATGCCACCCAACCTTGCAATTAACCAGAAGAATAGTTCTGTGTTTAAATGATTAGATTTGCATGTTGCAGGATACCAAAAAGTATGGAAATCATGAGTGTATAGCTCAGTGAATTATTTAAAAGGAATACACCTGGTAACCAGTTCCCAGTTGCTGGCAAGGATGACCTTCACTGGTCTCTCCCTCAGGCTTCGAGCTGGCTTTTTTGAGCACTTAGAGAAGTGGTTTGACCAATGCACTCTCAATGCCCGAGTCACTGTGGCCACCAAGCTTGATCAGCTGGATTCAGAACTGGAGCTGCGTCTGCACCTGCACCAGCCAAGAGCCCAGCGCATTGAAAAGGACATCCACAATCTCAGGGCAGGTACAGTCCCTGCCTGGGAAGGCTGCCCTGCCCCAGACCCCTGGGGTTGTGCCACCACAGCTCCACATTCATTAGCTGCCCCAGTTTGCACCACACAACCTTTATCTTGATGTTATTACACCATATGTATGAGGGTTTGCATCTCTCAGGCTGGCAGAAAGGTACCTCTCAGAATTCTCAACCAAGATTTTTTTTAATAGTTTTTTTTGTTTGTTTGTTTTTTTTTAAAAAGGGAATTAGATACTGAAATAAGGAGTACTGTCCCGTTTTAGCTGTGTGAATCCCAGATCTGTTCAGACATGTCAGATACACAACTTCATAGCAGATGCTCTTGAGGTAAGCCTGTAGCTCAGGAATCAGAGCTATCAGGCTCAACCACTGTGGTTGTGTGACTCTGGGCAGGTTACCTGACTTCACTGATTGTCTCTCACCTGCAGAACGGGATATTGTTGGTGGCAGTGATACAGCGAGGAATTGTGAGCCACAGCCTCCAGAAGTGGTAGCCATTAATTTCAGCTTATAGTTTATGATACTGAAAAAGAGGAGCCTTTTCTTTCTTAGGCAGAGGGCTCCATTAATGGGTGGGGAGCACACTCTTAATTGGATCCTTCAATGGCCCCTGTTAGGTTTTCATTTGTGTCACACTTTAAGCTCCATCATAGACCTTTAGAGCTTGCAGACAGTCCCCACAGGACCCCACTCAACCTCCTATTGCCTGAAATGGTTGTGGAATTAGAGTCCCAGTGCTTGTGGCCTTAGGACACCTGCTTCACTTTTGGAATCTCATTGTCTTCAACTAAAAAATGTGCATTAATTATAAATATAAATAAAGATGCTTTCTGAAGGCTGGTTTCCTTCCCCTTCCCTGGCTCCCTGGCCAGTGCACAATGTGGAAGTCAAGGCCAGAGAAGCAATGTCCTAGAGCCACACTGTTCATTTTTCACAGAGCTGGGACCACAGCACTTTCACCACTCCTGGCAGTAGGGAGGTCAGATAGTATGATCTGGTACTGGCTGCTAGCTCTAAGGGCCCATGATGGAGCTTTTAAATCAAACCTTGGTTCTTTTTACTATTCCTTAGAAATCCATTGAAATCCAGGCTCATTGGAAACAAGTAGCCACTGATCTAAAGGAACAGCCCCTAACTGCCCAGCTGTGGGCTGGGTGTTTTCTCCCAGGCCCTCACGGAGATCCCTGCCCTCCCCAACACCTTGCCCCCATCCCACCTGCTCCCAGGCTGCTCCCCTGCGACTCCCCATCTCCCAGGCCTTGTTCCTTTCAGCTGCAGGCAGGGTGTCTCCACCAGCAGGGACCTCACTGCCCATAGCTGGGCAGAGCCTCCTCTCCTGTAGGAGACCCTGGGGCAGTCTCAGATGGGCCTCCCTGAGATCTGCGCCCATTCCCAGGCCAAGCCCTGGTGAGGGCAGCGGGGCAGAATAAGAGACCTGCTCTGCAGCAGCCTGGGAAAGGCAGCTGTCACTGCCCAGGAAAGGAATGCCCCAAGGTGACTTGGGATCCAGAGGACCTCAGCTCCCCTCGTCCTTTGCAGCTGAGCTCTTGCTTCATCAAGAGCGTTTGGACAGCCACTGTGCTGGGGTGATGGAGGCGCTGAGGAAGGAGAACCTGATGTTCTCCCAGTTCCAAGAGGAGCAAAATGTGAAGACTAAAAACTTCCATAGCAAGATTTGTGACATGGAACACATCTTCCTGAATGCCACCAGGAGCCAGAAGTAAGGGCCCTGGAGTCCCCACCCTGCCTCGTGGCTGCTCTCAAAGCAGTGGTCCTTCCCTGGTGGGTAAAAGAGTTGGGTTTTCCAGGCCCTGGAGCTACCTTCTCTTTTCAGTTCACCCCTTCATGAGAGTCAGAGCCCAACTGTGTGAAACATCTTTCTGGGACCTGGGGGTGGGGGCAGCTGAGCAGCCAGAGAGAACAAAGGGTACTCATGGCCAGAGTGTGAGGACACAGACCATGTGCCCCAAAATGTCCATGGTAGGAAAGATCACTTCTGTCCAGGGCAGTTAGGAAGTTTCCCTGCAGGAGGCCTGGGCCTGGGATGGAGGAAGGTGGGGAGGGGGGAGAATTATCCCATCAGGAAGGAGCACTGGCCCAGTTCCAGATAGGGATGTGCTCAGGGCAGAGCAAGGGGTTCCCAGAAGGCCATTCAGGGATTTGCTATGGGGCTCTTGAGTGCTCAGGGAGCCCTCAGTCAGATGACAGGTGAGGAGAGCACACAGCTGTGTGTACAGCAGTCGGGCACCCAAGAGGCGTGGGTTAGGGTGGACTGGGGTGTGAGGAGGAGACCCGCAGGGCGCCCTTTCAGGGGAGCACCAGGGAGCAGGAGCCACGTTGCTGGGAGTTAGAGGGAGTGTGCTAGAGGGAGGAGGAGATCCAGTAGGACCTGGGGAATCTTTTACCAATTTGGCGGCAGGGACCAGAGTGAGGAGAGAGGTGCCCTCTGACCCAGCACACTAGAGTTCCACATGGTGTCCTGCACACGCTGGCATTTTGAACTTCCTTCTAATGCCTCTTCTTCTATCCAGAGAATATGGGCAGTGGTTCTGGCGGCCCCACAGCTGGGCACAGGTCACCACCCTGCCCCTCCCGTGTCCCCCAGGCTGGTCAGTCTCAGCAGCACCCTGCACCGGGAGCTGCTTAGCTACGTGGATGTCATCCAGGTGTCCCTGCGCAGCTTCCGCCAGTACTTGGAGGAGAGCCTGGGCAAGCTTTGCTATACCAACATTGAGTTCATCAAGCACAGCAGGTGGGCGCCGCCAGGCTTTCTCTACCGAGAGTGGTTACGACCCCCTTAATTTTTCATTGTGACAAAATATACACAACATAAAATCGTCCATTTAAACCATTTTCAGATGTATAGTTCAGTGGTACCAAGCACGTTGGCAGTGCTGTGCTGCCATCACCACGTCCAGCTCCNCATCTTGAAAACTACAAATTCACCCATTAATGAATCTATATTGTCATGTTCCCTCATCTGTGGGGGCCTAGCTCTAACAGAGCACATGGAAGGGCACAGGCCATGGGTGAGATCAAACAGCTGTTGTCTCCCAGAGAAGAGGCCTCATTGAAGTGGAAGCACTTTGGAGGATTTGCTGGGATCCTTAGCAGGACAGGCTTAAAATCCTAATTCAGGCAGTTCCAGAGCTGAGTTCAAGTTAAAAAAAAAAATTCTAAAAATTAATGTATAAAATCAGAGTGCCAATTTATTACTTTGCCTTTATATCTGTGGTAAGAACTGGAATCCTTCTATTAGCCAGAATCTGCTTTTTCTCCATGTAAACCTACGTGGAAATGAATTTTATTATGATAGTCTGATGACTAAATTTCATATTTTTTTCTTGATAGTCTGGTCTGGGTAGTCACTGTCAATGTTTGTAAAATAATATTCTATGATTTTGTAGCCAATAAATCTTTTCTTCTGATTAATACATAATTTCTTCAGCTATATTACAACCTTTAATTGAGTTATACTTATGTTTCACACACTTGGGAATTGTACTTTTTAGGTGACTTTATTTAATTATTACTATAAATATTCATGACCAATCTGGCCTATATTCTTTTTTTTTTTTAAATATATCTTTATTGATTTCAGAGAGAGGAAAGGAGAGGGAGACAGATAGAAACATCAATGATGAGAGAGTCATTGATCGAGCCCGCAACCCGGGCATGTGCCCTGACCGGGAATCGAACCCAGATCGTCTGGATCCCAGGTTGACGCTCAACTGCTGCGCCACGCCCGGCCGGGCAGCTCCAGAACTTTTTTCACCTTCCCAAACTGAAACGAAGAGCATTAAACACTAACTCCCATTCTCCTCTCCCCCAGCTCCCGGCAGCCACCATTCTGTTTTCTGCCTCTGTGAACTTGACTAGCCTAGTTGCCTCATTACAAGTGGAATCACACAACATTTGTTCTTTCCTGTGTCTGGTTTGTTTCACTTAGCATAATGTCTTCACATTCATTCATGTGGTAGCCTGTGTCCGAGTTTCATCCCTTCTTAAGGCTGAGCACGGCTCCACTCAGAGTATATGGCGCATTTGGTTTACCCATTCATCCCTCCATGGACATTTGGGTTGTTCCTGCTTCTGTCCTTGACCTTCCTGCGTTCATTTTACCTTGATCCTGTACTTTTAATCTAAACCCTTATCAACCACAATATTTGGGATGAATAGAAAGTTTCAGGTCTGATCAGTGGCTTCTGTTTCTCCCAAATTATTTTCAGATTATTTTCAGAGGGAGGCAACTTTTCTCCTGAAGAAATTGAGTCACTATGTAATCGACTGGAGAAGGAAGCTTCCCGGATAGAGTTTGTTGAAAACTCAATCATGATCAACATGGAAAAGATGGAGAGCGACTACCTGGACCAGGTGGGTTAGCCCCACCCTTGACCTTCAGCCAGGCTCCCAGGATACTGGTTACAAGGTCAACAGGGCCAGTCAAGCCCCGTTTCCAACCATTAATTGAGCCTGTCCCTCGCTGTTTCTGAAGCCCAGAAGTTCCCAATTAAGCCCCCCTCCTTTACTTTTTATATTTCTTTACAGGCCAATGATTTCATCAACAAGTTTGAAAGTAAATTCCATAACCTGTCTGTGGACCTTATTTTCATAGAGAAAATCCAGCGATTGCTGACAAATCTGCAAGTGAACATCAAGTGTGAGGTAGGACAGATTAATTCTTCATTTGGTGGGTGTTTATCACACACACCTGCATGCCAGCACCTTCCTAGAAGCTGGGATACCGGTGTGGTCTCTGGACAGTGGGATTGGCACTCAAGCCAGGAAGACAGATTAAACTGTCATAGCATCTAACATTCATTGAGTTCTTGAACCTTAACCAACTTGTTTTGATTAGCTGTGTCAGTCCTCTCGAGAACTCTATGAAGCAAGTACTGCTTTTAATCCCCATTTTAGAGATAAAGAAATGTGCAGAGAGTAAGTAAGTGACTTAGTCAAGAACACAGAACTCATAAATGGTGTAGCCAAAACATAAACACTAGCTGTATACCTCAAGGAACTAGAACAAGAACAAACTAAACCCAAAGTTAGCAGAATGAAGGAAATAAAGGTCAGATCAGAAATAAATGAAACAGAGACTAGAAAAACAATGGAAAAGATCAATGAAGCTAAGAGCTGATATTTTGAAGATAAACAACATTGACAAACCTTTTAGCTAGACTAAGAAAAAAGAGACAAGACTCAAAATCAGAAATAAAAGAGAAGACATTGCAATTGATACCACAAAAATACAAAGGATCATAAGAGACTACTATGACCAACTATGTGCCAACAAATTGAGTAACCTGTAAGAAATGGATAAATTCCTGGAAACATAACTACACCATCAACCAGTTCTGTGAATTAACAATTTTATTTTTAAACCTTATTTGACAGTTTAAAAAAATCTTTAAAATTTATATTGGTGAAATTTCTGATAAGATTGTGCATTTTTGACTCCTGATTTTATTTTTCCGGTACTTAATTCATTTCTCAGATAATAAGTTTTGCTGAACATTTTCCTTATCAAACTACGTCTTCTAGAAACAAATCTTGGAACCTCTGGTTTTTCTAGGTGGCAAAATCTAATTCACAAGCAAATGGATTAAATTCTTTTCTGGAACAGCTTCAAAGCAAAGTAGAAATGTATCGAAACTCAAAGGGAGACAAAACAGTAAGTGCTCAGTAGATGCTAAGCTATGAATAGTAAAGATGCATCATGCTAGAATCATAAGCTGGAAATAAACTTACATCTGTGGTCAAGATTTCTCCAGCACCAGAGGGGCCCCTGAGCCTTCCTACTTAACCCCTGTTTTATTCAATGGAATTAAGGAAGAGAAGAGAAGAGAAACCAGCCACTGCCCCATCCCCCAGGACCTCCCAGGAAGGCAGGTAGAGTCCAGGCCAGGCAGGCAGGTAGAGTCCAGGAGAGTCTTTTCCATTTCAGTGGCTGAGTTAAGGTTTCATTGTTATTAGCAATAGAGGACATTTATTTTTCTCTCTTTATTGCTTTTTCTTGCATAGTAACACATACTTCTTAGAAAAAGTTCCAACAACCACAAACATGAGGGGCTCTGCAGGAAATGAGAATACATGAGAACACACATCACTCATGTTATCCTCATTTCCTGCAGAGCCCCTCATGACCTCTGTATTTTTGTGCAGATGTTTCTAGGCATCCCCTGCAGAGCAGGGAAAACTTATTAATTTGCTGTGGCCCCTTCAACAGGCCGTTTAGGGACAGCTCTGCCTCTCTAGGGCAGAAACCTTTGCTCTCCCACATTTCCTCACCTCCCAACCTCTCTCTTTCCTGTCTTCTCCTGGTGGTGTCAGGGTGTTGCGCAGGGTGCCAGGGGCTTGCACAGTCTCCTAAGCAGGTGGAGGGGCGGGGAGCATGAGCTTGGGTGGGCAGACAGTCTTGTATTGATGGAAGACACCGATTGGACACTTATGTGGAGCACTAATCAGGAGACAGGAGAGATGCATTGAATGCATGGTGAAGGTTGTGGGGATCAGGGGTAGTGTGGCCTGGCCATGTGCTCAGTGCCACTTTGAGGGGGGCCTTCTGGCTGCTGGGTGCAGAAAGGCAGGGAGACAGGTTGGAGAGAAGTAGGGTGCCAGGAAAGAGGCAAAGAGAATAGTTGCCTGGACAAGGTGCCAGCTGGGACATGTTCCAATTCCAGAGCTGAGTGGAGGGGACAATGGGCAGGACACAGAGTGCATTGGAAATGAAGGAAGTGGAAGAGGCCAAGGCACCTCCTGGCCTGGGCCATCTGATAGATGAGTGAACCATTCAGGGAATGACGTGTGAGGACTGCTGAGCAATGTGTGGGATGTGTGGTGAAGGCCACCCAGATCCTCACGGGGCTTTCCTGCACACCTGTGGGGCATGGTCAGTGGGATTGCTGCTCTAGGGGTGTGTGTATTTGACATTGTCATGGAGATCCCCTTCCAGAAAGCTGTGGTCGTCTCACTCCTGCACACCCTTGCCATCTTGGGCCAAACATTTCCTTGTGAACATAGAGCTAGAAGAAATCCTAGGGAAGCACTTTGTCCCCATCACACAGGTGAGGAGACTGAGTCAAGTATATTTAAATCATTTGCGTAGAACAAACCTGTAGAACCAGGAATAGAACTCCCGATGCCTTATCAACTGAAAGATCTGCTGTCCCCATGCAGCAGCCTAAGACAGTCGGCCAAGCATTCCCCATCCCCCAGGGTCCTCCCTGCAAGTGAGGGGCCTCCATCCAACCAAGAGACACCCTCATCGGCCAGCTCCCATTCCTGAGATTCAGACGGAATCAGCCCACCCTCCGGCACCCTGCTTCCTGTGGCTTTCTTCTTCCGTGTTCTCACTAGGTGGTGGCCACAGAAGACCTCCAGGGCTTCATCCGAACTTGGAAAGAAAAATTGAACCAGAGGATTGAGTACCTCAAATGCAGGCAGGAGAAAGTGTCCGTGACTCAAGTGGTTTTTGCTGTAAGAAATGGAATAGGGTGGCGGGGAAGGATGGGTGAACTATTGGGCCTGCTCTCCTAGGAGACCTGCAAGGCTCCCCAGAGCCCAAGGGAAGAGGGAGCTCCCAGGCCCCTGCTGGATACCAAGCCTACTGGGGTGCCTTGGAAAGACCACAGGCTGTGGATTCAGATCTGGGTTCAAATCCAAGATGGGCTACTTCCCTGCATTGATCTCTTAGGGGACCCCTCACCTCATGGCACCACCTTCTCCCCATCAGTGCCCTCAGCTCACTCCACCCACCAGCTCTCAGGAAACCTCACTCCTCAGCCTCTTCCTTCCCACCCACACCTATGAGCAGCTACCAGCTTCTCCCCACCCACCCCTAACCCCTCATCCAAACCCCCTGGTCTCTTGCCCACCTGGCTGTCCTTATCTTCTCACTTCCTTCCATGATTCATTCCTTGAGCTGCAGCCAGACCAGACACCACAAAAGGCCATTCTGACTGTGTCACTCTCCTGCCTCTGGGTAAAATCCAGACCCTCTCGTCAGATCTATGCAGCAGCCTCTGCAGTCCACCCTCTGTGGCCTCTTCATTTCTCTGGTCCCAACCCCAAGCTGTCACTTTGCCCTAGGCCTTCTCTTATCCCTGGACCGGTTGGGCTATCCTGGCCTCAGTGGCACCTCAGCTTTCCCCATGAGCCCACAGACCATGCAATGAGGTTTCCATGTTAGGGGCCATCTCCCCTCGACTATGTGCCCCAAGAGGGCAAAAGAGCCTGTATCTCCCTCACCCCACACGCAGCCCCTCATACCAGAATTTGAATACCAGAGGCTCTCAACCAACTTCAGGTGGTGGAGAGGGTGGTCATAGAACCAATGGCAGCATAAATGGGCACCCCTCAAGCTCTGCTCTGCTCACCCTCAGGCCCTGCCTCTCACTGCCATATTTTGAACCAGCCCTTCCTTTTATGGGGAGGTTCTTCCCACCATGCCACCAACACTAAGCTTCCATTGCACCACCACTACTGTGCATGACAAGATGGGTCTCAGGAGTCCAGCCAGGGTCCGTCCTTCTGACAGTCCACTGTAGAGTCATGACTCAGAATAAAGTAGGGAACAGCCTAACTTAGCGCTTATTGTGGGTTACCACTCTGGCCCTCTCTCTAAGGTCCAACTCAAGGGGGAGTTGGCCACTCACTCATCCACGCATTCATTCATTCACTTGTCCATTGCTCAAAAACATTGCCTGGGCACACAGGTTCATGATGCTCAGTCTCATAGAAGATACTGGAACTTTTCCTTTATAGTACTGGCCCCCATTGTGACCAAACATTTACTTGATGTACATATTAAATGCCTGTCTCTCTGACTAGACTTTAAGGTCTATGAGGGCAAGGGTCCCATATGGCCTCTTTACCCCATGTCCTGGTCACCCAGGCAAAGCATTGCAGAGAGCAAGCACTCAGGAAATATTTTTGATGGTTGGCATGCATGCATGAATGAATGCCCTCTAAGAGAGATATGACCATTACCATTTTATAGAAGGGAAAATAGAGGCTCACAGTGGTCAGGCAGCTGGCCTCCAGCTGTAGCACCTCAGCAAAGTGGTGCTGGAATATGAACCCAGCCTGTCTGCCTCCCTGACACTTGGGCTGGGCCCACACACTTGGGCCCTTCCCTCTGGCCTGCAGGACAGCGTCTTGGTTGACCTGGATGTGGAGAGTGACATCCTGGTGTCTCCAGAAGCCCTTGAAGAGGAGGCCAAGGTAGATGCGGTCAACCACGAGTCCTTTGCCCAGCCGAGCCGCATGGGGAAGCCCATGATTGAAGACCCAGCTATAGGGGTGGTCAAGAAGATCTTGCAGTGAGTGGCCTTGGGGTGTACTATGGGGTCCTGCCACCAAGACCCATGCCCTGAGCCTTCAGGAACTGGCTTTGGGGTCTCACTCACTGCCTTCCCATGTGAACCCACCCCTGAGAGCCTGTGATGTTGAGCAAGGGACCTCTCCTCTCAGAGCCTCAGTTTCCTCCTCTAAAATGGGCCTCATGATAGGATGGAGTCACATGGTGTTGTGTGCTAACTGGGTTGGTGCCCAGTGCCTGGTCTGAGCTGTCCTCATGGTCACTGGGAAGACTTCACATCCTTTTCTTTGGTTTCAGGTCTCAGGAATCAAAATGCTCAGTTTCCCCATGTGACAAAACTCGATCGCAGACAGGTAGAGCCAAACAGGCCTGTGGGTCTCAGGGCACTGATGGTGGGGAAAGCCAATGGTGCTACCTGGCCCATCTTCACCTCGGGTCCTCTGCTCTTGTTCTGGGGAATCATCATCCAAAGGCTTGAAGCGACACCGGAACCAGGGAGAACACTCTGTGAAGACTTTGTCCAATGTCAATGCCACCTCAACAGGAAGGTAGGGATGCTGAGCTGCCCAGGATCTCCCCTTCCCAGACCCCTACCCTGTCTCCCGAAACAGAGGCCAGAGGCTACCCTGTTACTTCTGTCCTCTTATGTGCTGCCTGTGCTCACAGCTCCGAGGCTCCAAGGGTCCCAGTGAAGGTTCAGCTCTGATGCGGGCTTTGGTTATATCTTCATTCATTCCTATAGAGTGACTCCGCTCACACAGGCCTCCCACTTAGAGAACCTGTCTGAGAGTTCCCACAGTGATGGCTGGTGGATCCAAGCCCTGCCACGAGCATCATCCTAATGGGAAAGAGGGACCCTGGATATAGCTTTCCTTGGGTGACATCACAGAACCTTAGGAGAAGTCCAGGGCTCTGCATTCCAGCATGCGCTTCGCCTACTATGCCCCATTGGGGTGATTAGACTCATGGCTCAGTGAGCATGAACTCTGGCTAACACCCAACGTGGATTTTACAGAAGGTGGATAACAGAGGCCATGAACTTTCTTGGTCTTCTGTGAGCCCTCATTGATGTGGTTTAATTCCTGGTTTTGAGGAAGTGGCAGTGAGGAAGCTACTGCTTAGCATACCTCCAGAAGGTCTTTTTAAACACTCAGGCCATTTGCAGTGAGGAAATAAACAAAGACCAACCAAATGAGAAAAGCAAAGGCTATTTACTCAGAGCTTGCTACAGCAACGGAGTCAGCCACATCACTTGCATTTTAGCAGAGACTCAAAGGCAGACAGAGAAGTGGAAAACTTTATAGTGGAGAAGAGGGAGGGCCTTGGGCGCACCTGATTGGAGGCTGTGGCACAGGAAGCAGGAGGCAGGCCAGCAGGGGGCATCCTATGTGATTGGTTAGGGGAGCATATTTGGTTTTCTCTGGTTGGTTCTAAGTTGGAATCCGGGACAAAATTTTGGGAAGATGTCATTTATTAATCAATTCCTGGTCATTTGGGGGTCGATTTTTACCGACATTATTATTTAGTTTTCTGAATTGTCACTGGGATAGCCACTGGCTTCCTGCAAGTCTGACTCACAACAGGCTGACTTCCCAAGTTGTTTACTGTAATGAGGAGTTGGTTTCTCGGGCAGGTTGCTACAGGTGGTGGGTCAGACTACAGTATTTATATGTGCTCTAGACATTGTCCATTTGTACATTCAAACTCTCAGTGGCTACAAAGTGAAATCCATGTTGCTAGGGCTGCCAGATTAAAATTCAGGATGCCCAGTTAAATTTGAATTTCAGATAAACAACACATAATATTTTTAGTGTAAATATGTCCCAAATATTGCATGAGACATACTTATACTAAAAAATTACTCGTTGCTTATATGAAATGCAAGTTTAACTGGCCTTATTGTATTTTTATTTGAAATCCTGGCAACCCTACATGTGACTCAACCTATTTTTCTTTGGGGGCTCACACAGAGTAGCAAGAATACAAATTTCTAGGCCTGAGCACCTCTCCCTCTCCCCTCTTCTCAGCAGCCTTGGGTGGGTTTTAGCGGTAGGGCTTCATCCCCACAGTAAGGTTGTCTCCAGAATTGTTGAGGAGTAGGGAGGCATCTTGAAGGATTCAGCCCCAATCATGGGAATCAGGTAGCCCACAGGCAAGTCTAGTGGCTCTAACAACTCAGGTGCGGCTCCCACAGACTCAGATATGCCTGTGTCTGTTCCTGGCCTCCAGAGCACTGACCTACCTTTGCCCCACAGTGTCACACGGGTTTCCAAGTCCAACAGAATGGACAGAAGGTACCAGGTGCTCTGCGACAGGCCACCTCCTCAGGCCGAGTAAGTGACAATGCCTTCTCCTTTAACGCCACTTTAATCTGTTACCTCCATCTGGGGGCAGCTAAAGCTGACTCAGTTAAAGGGAAAACAAGAAGTTAGGGGGCAGAGCTGGAGGGGTCGGTGAAGGGACAGGTAGGGGTCAAGGTCAGTTTGTCTCAGCTCATTTTACCTGAATTTATTGAGAGATATTTTCACCAAATTTTCACATTTTTCAAACTAAGCATTTTGTTGGTAGCAGGGCAGTGTGACCCTTTGAGTTTGGGTTTTGTTTTATTTTTAAATGCTTCCCTCTCCCCCATTCCTCTTTTCTGTTATTTTAATTTCAGTGATTAAAACAAAATACGTTCCACTTAATATAGCTACATTTCAAGGAAACTAGCAAAATTTCAACTTCAGAAAATTGAAAGCACTCAGAGAAATTGAAATTTTCAGAAAATTGAGTCTACAAGTGGGCCCCCTTCCCCTTAATCAGAGACCCCAGCGTCGCAGCGCCCCCTCCACATCAGTGGAACCCCACTGGTCTCATCACTTGGGTTTGTGAACATGGAAAGGAGGGTGGCTTTTATATTAAGTGACCCAGAAGTTTTGTCCAAATCAGCAGCTAGACACTCCCTCACCCCACACACCCACAGACATTCCTCATCATTAAAATCTTGACCCTCTGTCAGTTTCATATAGCTGTCATTTTATCCCATATGTAGATTTATGTAGCCACCACCACAAACGCAAAACAGAACTGCTCCATCACCACCAAGATCTCCCTCCTGCAACTCCGTATAGCCACATCGAGCCGCAGACATCTCCATCCCTAGCCCTGAGCAACAACTAATCTCTTTTTCATCCCTATAATTTTGTCACTTTGGGAATGGCATATAAATGTTGTCATACAGTATATAACCTTTTCAGAGTGGCTTTTTGCAATCAACATAATGCTCTGGAAATCCATCCAAGTTGTCGCATGTTTGAATTGTTTATTCTTTCGTATGGCTGAATGGTATGTATGATATCCATAGTATTGAGGTACCATAGCTCTTTAGTGATTAAAAGAAAATCATAGGCTAAACTGAAAAAAAAATTGAGACTTTATTAAATCTCTGAAAGAGGGGAGACTTGCCTGGCATTACACAATGGTTAATTGCTCAGAAAACAGAATCAGATTGATCATGGTTTTACCTCCACATTGGGATTATTAAGTGACTTCTCCCCAAGCCCAGTGGATAGAAGAGAACCCTCCTCTTAGAGCTCTGCAGAGGAGCCAGAGAGTTCAAGTGTCACCCACGGGCCTCCGGGTAGTAATACAGGATTGTCACACTGAGAAGCACTAGATGAAATCACAATGAAAAAGATGGACAATTTTGGCAAATAAAGTTTTAAACTCCTGTGGGTTAAAATGCAATTAAAAGTTAGCTAACCACCAGCCAAGAAATAATGATGGTAAATAAGAATAGCAAAGAAAAAAACCTTTAAAAATTGGTTCCCTCCTCCCTCCCTCCAGCAAATTACTAAGGAAACCTTGAGAACTCAGTAGGGTAAGAGGAGAATTGAAGAGACCACGCCCAGAGGAGGAAATAAAATTGGGAACAAACACATGGAGAAAACACTTTCACTAGAATGCAAAGAAGTGGAAGGGGAACAGGTTCATTCCATATTTTGCCTGAGATTAACCAACATATAAATAGATTTTAGTGGAAGTTCCCAGTTTATTAAGGGAGGGTGGAGATGGTCCCTCCCAGGCACTGCAGATGGGAGGTGTTAAAGAAAAAATTATTCTGACACTTGTTAAAACAGTAAGGATGATTTTATTCCAGACTATGCATTAGGTGTCAAGACTGTCACAATAGGGGGGAGATGGGGTTTGACTCAGAATATAGCAAAGACAGTGGAGATTTATAGCCAATGCATGGAGTGAGGGGTGTCAGTGGATGGAAAGTTCAAAGGAACCGGGACTCTTGCTAAACCTACTTAACAGGATTCTTGCTGCTGGCAGGCCAGAGTGGTCAGCTGTCAAGGGCAGGGGGTTGTCTCTAAACCGACTTAGCAGGATTCTTGCTAAAACAGCATCTAGCAGGCCATCAACAATGCCTAGGATAACGCCTAGTTGAAAAGTGGGCTCAGAAGAGCCGAGCCTGTCTAAAGTTAGGTCAAGGAGAGAGTGCTTGTCAGTCCCTCTTTTTGTCCAAGGGAAGAAGAGCAGAATGTAAAATACATGTGAACCTAATTCCAAACCTATTTTAAAATCAGCAAAAGGAAATATAATAACATGCTGGCATTCATTTTTTCTTCTTGTTTTTCAGTATATTTTAATTTACTTTAATTATGATGAAGGAATTTTAAAATGAAAGATCAAGTGACCTATGTATATATATATATATTTTAGAAGTTGGCCAACAATGGTGTGTTTATGACCATCACTGTGCCGTTTTATAGAAATTGTGAAAAATTAAGTGTCACTCTTCCTATTGAGATGGTTGATGTAACTGGACAGGAATACCCACTGGATCTGTGCAAATTGTGTAATGAAGCCTCAGTATGCTCACAGCCACCTAAAGGCCAGAGGTATTAGAAGGAAAATGTTTAGTCCTACAGGAAGTCCTGCTCATTGGTTAATATTTATAAGAAATCATTATTTCTTCTTTCAACCAATACAGAGGCACTGATAGGTGCAGGCACTGCACTGGGGCTGGGGTTCCATGGTGAAGAAAAATAGACGCACAATCCGAAACCTCCACCTGCTGGGAGAGATGGAAGTTAATCAGCTAGTCACACAGATAAATCCCAGATCCTCTATGGGGAGTGCTGTGCAGTTGAGGGCTACTCTGGGAGCGCTGGAATGAGGTAGTCAGGAATTGCCACCAAGCCAGGATCTGAGGAAGAACGGGAACAAATGTGACCAAGAAGAAATCAGCAGTGTCCTCTGGAGAAAAATCAGTCTGTGCAAAGGTCCTGGGGCAGGAGTAATTACAAGGAGTGATAAGGCCAAAGGAGAATAGAGACACTTGGAAGGGGCCAAACCCAGCCTCTCACACAAGAGGCATTAAACTAAACAAAGAGAAATATTAGGTGGGTGCATGCTTTTGCATCACGTGAACTGCCCAACTCCAATCCTGGGTGGGCTGCTGAGTCCTTGGAATGTTCTGTCTGTTTGGTTTTGTCCACATCATTTGGTGTGATTAGACCAGGCCTCTTAGGGACACTTATCCATGTGTGTTTCAGGGATTTTAAAGGGATCATCCTGACCCTCCTCTGGGAGAACAATGAGCATCTGATGAACGTGGTGGAGGTGAGAGCTGCAGCCCACAGGCCTCTGCCTTCCTTTCTGCCAGCCACTGCCACATGTCCCCAGCGCCTGTGCCTCCTGCATCCTCCTGATAATGGCCTTGCGGGTGGGACTGAGAAAAGGGATTCCAGTCCCCATGACCATGGCTACCCAGCTAAACCATAATTCATTTACCTATTTATCCAGACACCAAACATTTCTTGGACATTAATTGTATGTCAGGTACTGGGTGTGCCCAGAGGAACAAGCCCATCTCTGTCCCTGAAGCCAGTCCCCACCAAGAGGGTGACAGACATGGCGGTACCACAGGGAGACAGGTGGGATGGTGTGAGCAGACACCCGGGTGTCCTCCAATAAGAGCCACTCGGTACCTTGTTCCAGCCTCCCACTGAGCAGGGGCTTCAGATCATCCGTATTGGTGGCCCCCAGCCTAGTAACCAGCCTGGCACTTTATAGTAAGCTCTCAACCTGGTCACTGAGAGGAGATTCCATTTGGGTCTCGAAGGATAAGTACTATTTTGCCGCTCACTCACGTGTGCCTTGCGTAGCTCTGTGATACTGGCAGCGGCGGAAAGGACAGATAAGCGGGGAAGAGCGTCACTGGCAGAGGGGACAGCGGGAGAGAAGGCTGGGCAGTGTTGAGAGCAGGGGGAGGATGCCAGGAGCATGGACCAGAGTCCCATGGTGAGGGTCCTTGCCTACACACTGTCAACCTTGTTTTGCAGGAGTTTTACCGCAAAGAGAAGCGCTTAGTCACCAGGCCTGACTGCATGTACGATACCTTGGAACAGTGCACTGAGAACATTGGCAAGAAGATTCTGGAGTACCAGAGCCAGACAGACGAATACCACAACTCCTGCCTCATAGGTGGGTGTGGGCAGCCGGCAGGCAGGACCCTGGTATGGCACGAAGCCACTGTTTGAGCTAGACCCGGGCCCTGCAGCCTGCATGTCACCCTCCTGACCTGGAGGTCACAAGGTGAGGCAGAGGAGCCTCTCCATGAAAAGACATCTTAGAATTAGGTAAAAACCTTGATCAGAAATAATAATGCCCCACCCCCAAAAATGTCCCCTTTTCTTAAGAAATATGGTGATTTGTATAACTAAAAATGTTTTGTTCATTGCACAGATATTTTTGACAGCTTTATTGAGATATTTATATACATACAATTTACTCACTTAAAGTGTATGATTCAATGGGTTTAATGTATTCACAGAGTTGTGCAACCCCCTGTCCCTCCATCACTTCCCCAGCCCTAGATAACCACTGATCTATTTTCTGTCTCTATCGGGTTTCCTATTTCAGACTTGCATATAAATGGAATCATGTAGTATGTGGTCTTTTGCGACTGGGTCCTTTCATTTTGCATAATGTTCTAAAGGTTTAGCCATGTTGTCACGTGTATCCGCACTTCATTCCTTTTAATGGCTGGATCATGTTTCGTTGTCTGCATCTACCACATTTTGTTTATCTGTTCATTCATTGATGGGCACCTGATTGTTTCTGCCTTTTGGCTGTTGTGATAATGCCTCTGTGAACACCCGTGTACATGTTTTTGTGTGGAAATATGTATTCATTTCTGTGAGGTGTATAAATAACTAGGAATGGAATTGCTGGGCCATATAGTAACTCTGTGTTTAATCATTTGAAGAATCTTTCCACAATGCCTACTGTATGCCTGGCCTGTGCTGGGCTATGATGGACTTGATATAGACACAGCCTCCTGGGGATCAGGGACATGAAAACAGGCAGGTAGAATACATCTTGCCAATCACATTTATTATTATGACATAAAGGGGTTGTGAAAACATGACCATTGCCCTCCTTTTGTCCATTTCTCCATGTTCCTCTGCATCTTCATCCACAGCCATATGTGTTTTATGCAGTTGTAAGTCCTAATTGTTTCTCTTGTAAGTCGGGGAAGCTGAGGGCCCATTATAGGCCTGCTGTGTTGGTTGAAAGGCAGCATGGACAGAAGAGAGAGAGGATTAGGGGGTAGTCAGACCTGGGGGCAAGACCCAGCACTGCCGTCTCCCAGCTGTATGACCTTGACCAAGTCACCTTGCCTCTGTGAGCCTCAGTTTCCTTGTCTGTAAACTGGAGATAAAGACAAAACCCACTATGCAAGGCTTTTTTGAGGATTAACCCCCTTTCACAGACCCGCCATGTACGGAGGAAACAGTCTGCCGTAGCTCTCATTACTGTGGTTGTGCAATGAATGGAATAGAAATGACAGGCAGCATCTCGATTTTCTGGCTCAGTATTTTCCCAGGTTCTCTGGTCGAATGGATTTGAGAAATGCTGCTGATTATGTGCCAATCTAGAAGATTCTCAGTTCAAGTAAATGGATGCTTCCATTTCTTAGTTTGGGAGTTCAGTAATCTGACCAACTCGCCCAGTGAAAACATGTAAAAGATATGTTTGTGATGAAATCTTTTAAATGCATTAAGCTAACTATAAAGTAACAAACACACAAGGCCCCCAAATTAAATTAAATAGGAACTCTGAGAAATAAATTGAGCAGCAGTTTTGGCTGTGGCCCTAAGGACTTTGCTGACTCCTAGGTGATTTTAAGCCTGTTTTCAAGGCCTTCAGGGCATTGGGAACAGGAGACAAAGGCCCAGACCTCCTAAGGTGGAAAGTCTGCAAGGACACAAGCCACATAAAAATGGGACTCTACCTGCAGAGTAAGGTGAATGCGACAAAACCACCCCTCTCCCACAACTAGAAGGAAACTGTCTTATTAAAAATCTTGGTGCTGGGTAAGGAAGAGAAGAAAAACTCCAGTGAGAATCCATACCCAGAAGGTGGCCTTTAGATGGTTTTTAAACCTGAGGTCACGCTGAGATAAACCTGAATTCAACTTCCTGTGGAGCATCCAAAAGACCTCTCCCTCATACTTTAGCTTAAAATGATCTTGAGTTAGTTGGGCCCAGATGCTTGTTTAGTAGAGACACTACAGATCTTCTGTAATAGAATATACCTTCAATTCAGGCCTCCAAGGACTTCCCAAAATAAAATGCCCAGCATAAGAGCTCACAGTAAAAATAAACAAACAAAGCGCACACACAAACACAAGAAAGCATGAGGTAGGCGGCAGGGGGAGGCCAGTAGGACTTTATATATTGAACGTATCAAACACAGAATATAAAAGAATGTATTTATTACAGTTAAATAAAAGAGGAAATTGGAAACATGAGTAAGGAGCAAGGGATTATTAAAATGACCAAGTAGATATGAAAGAAACCCAAATAGAACTCCTATATTGGAGAAACATTTGAAATTTAAAAATTATAAATGGCTTTACAGCCAGATTATTCACTGGCAAAGGTAAAATCAATGAACTGGAAGGTAGATACAAAGAAAATATCCAAAATGCAACACAGAAAAACAGATGAAAATTGGGAAGGAAGGTGAAGAGATATGGAGGAAAGAGCAGATACAAAGGCCCAAAGGGAGAAGGAGGCTAGAGTCAAGGCAATATTTGAAGAGATAATAGATGAGACAATGCTTAAAGATACAATGTATTTTAAAGGATACGAAAAGTCCTGTAGAGCATAGAAGAGAAGTCCTTGGAACTTCTAGACTATACTAGCTTTTTCTATACTATTTTGGCCACATGACCCCTTTTGATGAAATAGCTGTTACCACATTGAAGACCAAGTCTTTCTCTTTGGGAAACTGCTTTGGGCTTTTGATGGAGAGATCACCTCAGCAATTTGGCTCTGCTCTGTCCTCTCCCTGGGTCTCCCACCCCCAATGTCTACAGAATTACGAGCCCAGATGAGGAGATTTGAGGAGCTACTGCCCCAGGTGTGTTGGCTGATGATGGAAAATTTCAAGGAGCACAGCTGGGAAAAATTTTGCACCACAACCAAGGAGACCCAGGAACACTTCTGGAATTATCAGAAGCAAATGGAGAAAAGGAAGGTGAGGGCCCCCAGGACTTGCCCTTCCTCTCCAGGTCCAGGGGCCCTGGAAGTTCAGAAATGAATGTAGGTCATAGGAAGAACTGAGTCCCAGGGAAGGTGATGGGCTAGGCTTGGGATTGTTGGATGGGGACTGAGGGACACAAGGAATTGGAGAAATGAGAGCAGAGCCAACAGCTTCTTCATTGAAGGCATTCAATAAACTCCTTGTTGGATTTAATGGGTGGGTCAGCTGGGTTCTATGTGGCCATAGTCATTGAGGTCAACAATGATTGTCTACCTGGTCTTGCAGCCATGGGATATGGCTGCTTCTCATTTCATTAGACCAAAGCCCTGATTGTGCTGCATAGATGCTCAGCTTACCCTCTCCCTACCCTCAGGGTCGGCTCCAGCCATGCCCCTATCTTGCCTTTTCTGCCCACCCATGGCCCTTCACACCCCCTGGTCAAAACACACATCAGTCGGGCCATTTTCCATAATCGGCAGAGGACATAGGCCAGTGACGTTTTGGTTCTGACCTCAACACAGCATGGTTGAAATTCCTGCTGATTTCTGGATTTTTTAAATTAAAGGATAAAAATGCCCAGAGCCTTCATCCAAGTCTTGGACACCCTATATATCTAAAAGAAATGGAGTCTCTATGTCTACTGGAAGAGAGAAGACAGAAAGAAGTGGACTCCATGATTATGACAAACAAGGAGAAGCTGGAGGTCAGTGGTGCCATCAGTTCCCAAGTCCAGGACTGAGGGCTGCAACCCCCCCCCCCCC